TTCAGCTGAGAAAAGTCTTCGGTCGTGAGTCTCAAGGGACTTGACGCCAGGACGAACTGATAGGCGATAAATCGATAATCGTAAATTAAAATTGACTTTGACTTTAGAGAGAGCCTAGAGTCTAGAGTCTGGAGAAGAGTTGAGAATCTGCAGGCAGTCAGTTGAGGTTTGCAGTTGTGAGACGTGAGAAGCTACGAAGAAACTGAGGTCGGGGACAGTTCGGGAACGCAGAGGAAGAACATCTATAGTTGGAAGCCGCTGCCAAGCACAGCAGTGAACCGTGACTGATAACACTAGTCTCTTCGTGATAATGATGTATGGTCACATGTCGTTTAATAATTCAACAAATCCGATTACAAATCCAGACCTCGTCTGTAGTCACTACATCGCGCGAAACGTAATCTTTCATCCTAAGAGACGAACGAAGGTTCATGTTGTTTGAAATTAGGGTGAGAGTATTTGGACCTGAGAGGACGGAAGTAACACGAGGCTGGAGAAAATTACTCACAGATAAACTTTATAACGACGCGGTCTATTCTTCGCCCAATATACCTGTTACTGTACTGTGAAAATGCAGTAAGATTAGATAAAATATGTATGTAGCCACCTGGTTTAGAAAAAAGTGCAGCATTTTATTGTGAAAACCGAAAGAGAAAATACAATATGATGGAAGATTAATAGTAGTATTGAAGTATTTAGGAAGCCAGAAGATCGAGGGTTCGAGTCCCGATGTGGTGGATCTTTTTTCAGTTGACCTAATCGTTCCAGCCGCATTATGGTTCTGGAGTCGACTCAGCCTCTAACAGAAATGAGTACCAGGAATGTTTCTGGGGGGGGGGGGGAAAGGGCGGCCGGCGCGTATATAAGGCTCACAACCTTACCGCCATCTGTGAGCCGATTGTCCAGAGAAGATGTAGGAGCCTCCATGTCTCAGAACCCTATGGGCCTTCACGCCTGTTACAGGGATAGCTTTACCTTACTTTACCTAACCTAACCTTACCTTACCTTACCTTTAAATATTTACGACTTGAGGTGTCCACAGCTTTGGATATACAAAGAGTGCTATCTTCTGGGTTTAAAGGTCGTGTAGCCCGTTAATAATCAACTGATGGTTCGGAGCAAAAGGTCGCCCCAAAGTTAGGGTCGAGAAATAAGCCAAGCAAGAGAATTCGCTTGCTCTCTGCTTCACTCTGGTTCTTATTTGGCTTATTCTTCCATCCTGAAGATGAAGGTGACATGTTCCTCTCAAATGTTGGTTGACTTTCAACGGACTGCACTGTGTTATATTCCATATGATTTAATTCTTCAGTATTAAAGCAGATATTAAAGAAATAGGATATGAATGATTTGACAGAAATCCTGTCTCAGGCTTCAGTGCCTGCGTCTTTTGACCATGATAGTTGAATACGGTTTCTGTAAAAAAGAAAAGACGGTCAATCTCAAGATTGGCCAAGAATTCTAATAAAAAAGTAAGTTCTTTTCATGTTAGGTCGCGCCAAAACTCAAGCGGTTAGTCCCTGGCTTCCCACCGCGGCGGCCGGGGTTCAATCCCGGGTCTGGTCAAGTAGGATTTGTGGTGGACAAAGTGGCGTTGTGGTAGGTATTTTCCGAGTACTTCGGTTTTCCCTGACAATCTTCATTCCAACAAATTCTCCATCATCATAATCACCCTAGGCAGGCTACAATAGGCCAATCAGTAGCCGCCGTGCCGAGTGGACCCAACTGGACTCCAACCCCCACTAGGCAAATTAAAAAAACATTCTTTTAAGGTTACTGCACAATAAGACAAGCGGGATTCTCAAGTTAATTCCCAGTGCCGTACAAATAACAGTTGCATAGCCTAAGTGGCACTGATAAGAGTTTTATCTCTGACTGAACTGATTCTATGTTTCACAAAAATCATCTTCATTTATCAGTGATCTGAGACATTCCTTAAGGGTCACCTGTCAGCCGGTTATAAAGATTTTGGGGGTTTAACTGAGACCTGGTACTTGACAAAGTGTCAGAGGAAGAACTTCATAAGAATTAAAAATTTTATTCCATCACATATTATTAATATTTATTATAAAACTATTACTTGGGTAAATGTTCTGCTAGAAACTGTATTGGTGTTTAAGGTAATATTTCCTAGATAATTATCTAAAATTTTCATAGCAATGAGATTTCAGATTGCGTTGTTTAACATTTTGTTAGACGTACACTGTAGTTTGGTTAATTTTTACAATAGAGTTTATTTGTTTATTTATTTAACGACTCAGTTAGTAGTTCAGAATGTACCGCGTGAAATGGTAGGTTAATTACTGAATAATAAATTTGGAAGGAGGCCGGTCACAGTAGCCGAGCGGTCTAAGGCATGCACTGTCTTCGATCGCTTGGAAACCGGGATCGTGGGTTCGAATCCAACTGAGAGTATGGATGTTTAGTTTATGTGTGTGCGTTTTTCTGTGTTTGTGTACAGGTGGAGGCCTTGCGACGAGCCGATCACCCGCCCAAGGAGTCCTACCGTATGTGTAAGATCTAGAAAAACCAAAGTGAACGGAGAAGTTCATGGAGGTAGGCCTAGGCCTACTGGGGCTGTAGTGCCAAGGAAAAAATTGGGAAGGTGTCTGACGAAGCAAAGGTACTCTCCCAATGTTCGCCTTAAGGGGCTGAAGAATCCAACGGGAAACCGTAGCAAGTATTGCCGACTCCCCACCCAAATTTCTAACCGGGTATCTCCCTAATAAAAGTCAAAATCGTTAAGGTTTCGGCCAGCTTGCTCGCTCCCAAGATTTTTTGCTTGTATTGTGTTCGCTATGTTTATCAGAGGCGAAATAATTTTCTATATGAGTTAAAAATACACGTTCTTGTGAAAATAAACCTTCTAATCTTCACTGTTTGCATCTTGTTGTCTATCATGATTGATGTTATTTGACCGTCAACTCAGTAATAAACAAGAATAAACCAACTGAACTGGTCACATTGGTTTTATTTAAAGGTTGCTATATGCCTTCTCCAGTATGTTGGATTATCTTCAGGCGGTCTCATAAAATACGTTTCTAGTTACTGAACTGATCTACGGATCCATAATAGTGCGACTCATCACAATCGCATAATACGTGCAGCGGTCAGGAAGTTGTAAAGATGTTTCTACTTTTAAAATTTTTCAGAATTTAAAAATTTAAAATTATTTAAAATCCTCTTGTCGTTGAATGTAAAATTCTACGTTGTTTATTTGTTTTTGTCGCTCTGTGTAGGTTGCCTTTGACCGGAGCTCGCTGTTATAGGTGTACTACCTGGAAGTAAATTACCAAGTGTATTACTCCTTAAGTTTTGTTTATATACCTCATGGTATAGGTAGAGTAGTTACAGTTGTAGAAACTATTCGCGATAATGCTATTACTTTTCAGTTTGTTGATTATATGTTTATTTTACAGTGCTATATTACTGCTGAAATTCAGTGGCGTCTTAACTTGAAACATCTCCATTACTGTGTAAGATTTGAGGCTTTCACGGCAGTGACTATGAAGAAAGCAGTCTTCTGGGATTTGGCACCGTGTTTATGTGGTGTTAACCGACGTTTCGGAGGAACTTATCGCCTCCATCTTCAGGGTGGAAGGAAAAATATAATAAATCCGCAATCNATTAATCTTGGAATGGCAAGCCATGCAGAGTAAATAAGTTTACTGTAAATAATTCAATAATCCCATAACATATACTAACATCCTCATGAACCATAAAGCAAGTTCCTTTTACTCTTGAGCCTCTGAAGATGGCATCGAAGGATGGAAAAATGTAAGACCATATAAATAAATGGATTATTTACGTACACTAATCTTATTTACGTTGGATGGCTTAAGACCAAGATTAAGCTGAAGATCAAATAGCTTCTATAAGACATATGAATATTAGAAATTTCGAATTTGGAAGAAGATTGGAAGGAGAACTAATAACTTACATCATGGTACTGTGTTGGCGGCCTTCTGGAGAAACAGCGGTTAAACCACCGAAAACACATTAGTGTGATCAGTGTGAGCACGGAATTTGGCAGCATATCTTCCCAGTTCTACTCAGACACTTCCGTATCGTGCTAATCCAGACAATAAGAAGAGACATCACACAATAGTGCTGAGGGTTGGACACAGGCTCTTCTATAAATATCCATTTACTTCAGTCAGTTTGTGTGTAATGGGAAAACAAACTTAACAGACTAAAACAGACTATGACTGTGTCTCATTTCAAATGTTAATAATGCAGATTAAAGCAGATCACATCTAAACGTGACATTCGTATATTTGATTTGTTCACTGTGTGTATTAAAATTCTCTTTGTCTTCCAAATTATCTTTAATCAGCATCACTTTTTCAAATGTCCTGTATGTTATACGCTAGACAGGACATACGGCGTTACTGTATAAATAAAGACAGTAAACAGCACTGTTTGGATATTTTATTATTATTATAGAAATGCAGAGTTTAGCAGTAATGGAGTTCAAATATTACACTATGCTTTGAACTTAACTTATAACCGAAGCTCTAATGCTGAATAAAGTTGTAATGCTTTCATCGTGTACGTTTCGAAACTTGACAGGGATACGGACTATCAGTACTGCTGTGTGTCATGATTTTACGCAGTTCCTCCTGCCCATTGCCCGAAAAGAACTTTAAATTATGTCGCTGTCCTTTCCTTTCACATCCTTTCCCATTCCTCATTCAGTATCATCCAATCATTTGACTCTTATAGCCTGAGTTACCGAGATTCTCGCTAAATTAACTGCAATCAAAATTTTAAAAACAAATTCACAAAAGCCTGAAGCCCTTTTCAAACTCAAATTAGCATCCCTCTGTCTTCACATGAGTATTCAAGGGTTTAGAATACTACCCCAGTGAACATGCGAAAGGAATGGACTAAATGCCTTTATCCCCTCTTATTGAATCCAAATAGTGACCTTGTATGACCTCTTTCTGACAATCTTAACGAGTTTAGAGTCTAACCCGACAGCTTCTCTGTGATTGGTGCAGTACCAAGACCACGAGTGTAGTGATCCCAAGGCCGCTATCTGCAAGTACCTTCTGCACGGCGAAGTCCTCAGTCAGTGTACAAGCTTCACGCACACCATGAGGTCCTTCAGTAAAATGTTCTGCTGGCAACGCGCCGCTCGCTGTGAAAACAAGAAGCAAACGATCGTACGTCGCCGTGAACTGGTCTTCAACAAGGGTGAGTACTGCGCGCAGCGTTCCGAATGCCTAAACCTAAAGTGATCTTTGTATCCACGTTTTCTGTGGTGGAAATATGTCTCATGCAGTCAACACGTGTCACATGAATGAATGTTTTAAATCCATTATACGCACGTTTATGTGTTATCCTTAAGGATGTCAATTTATATCCATAAAGAGATAAATGATACCGGAGAACGTTTTCGACATTGATAACGGTAACTTACATACTTACTAATAGCTCAAGCTGTTAGTCGTTGGCTTCCCACCGCTGCGGCACGGGTTCGATCCCGGGTATGGTCAAGTAGGATTTGTGGTGGACAAAGCGGCGCTGGTGCAGGTTTTCTCCAAGTATTTCGGTTTCCCTTGCCAATCTTCATTCCACCAATTGCTCCACAATCACCCTCACCTATCATCTGGGGCTGGTACAATAGGCGAGAAGTGGCCGCAAGGGACTTAGTCCCACCCCACTAGCAATAAAAAAATACTCATGGAGCTGAGCCCTTCTTGAGGAACATCCAATTCAGCATCTACTCAAGAATTTACCAGCATTTTATGGAACCCGAAGGTTCAGTACGGTATTCACAAGAGCTCTCCAATGGTCCCTACCCTGAGCCAGATCAATCCAATCCATATCATCCCATCCTATCTCTTTAGATACATTTTAATATTGTGCACCACCTACGCCTTATTCTTCCCAGTGGTGTCTTTCCTTCTGGCGATAAGGGTAAACCCTTTTAAAATCTTGAAAAGATTAAAATATTTTGTAACAATAGTAAAAACCTACATCTTTATTCATGAAGGTATAAAGAATACGTTAAATCCAGTTATTGTCATTCAGTTCAGAATCGCAAATATTCGAATGTCTGCTAGAAATATATAAAATTGAAATAGACAAAACTATAATTTTACCTGTCTTTTAGTATGGGTGTGAAAATTGTCGTCTTACATTGAAGAAAGAATATATATTCAGGTGTTTTTTTACAATGTGCCGAGGACCATATTTGTGCCTAAATGATAGGATGTAGCAGGAGACTTTGGAAAAATAATTTTTGTTTTGCACCAGACATGATCAAATTAAGAGGACGTTGTGGGCTGGCTGTCTGTCAAGCATGGGAAAGACTAGAATTTCATCCATAGTTTTCTTAAGAGAAGCCGGAGGAAGATATTTTTTAAGACACTCAGATATGGCTGGAAGCATAATATTAAATGCATTTTAAGGAATTATACTAAGAAATTCAATCTAGGTTCATTTGAATCAGTATATATTTCAGCACCGGTATATTGTGAATATGGTGATTAAATCACCTTGTTCTAGAGAAGGAGGGAGGACGTGGTAGCATAGTTAATTAAGCCATTATGCTAAAAGCTGCAAAGTCGCGGTTTCGAGTCCAGATGAGATGAATTTTTAAATTAACCTAATCTTTCCAGCCTCACAATGGCCCCGAGGCCGACTAAGCCTTTAACTGAAATGAGTACCAGGAATGTTCCTGAAGGATAAAGGGAGGCCGGCGGGTAAGGTTGACAACCTTTCCGCCATCTGTGAGCCTATTATCTATATAATGTGGGACTCTCAATGTCTCACAACCCTATGGGACTCCATGGCCTCTTAGGGGATAGCTTTACTTTTACCTAGAAAAAGCGTAGAATTTTTGAGCAACTGAGCAACCACTTGTTTCTCAAGGTATATTAGTACTTTGAATCTGTATTTATAGTTACTTATCTGTAGATAAAGATTCAGTGTATCGATACATACAGCATAATTTCTTTTGACAATATAAACTTAACAGTTTGGAAATACTATATAATTGAAAGTTATTCCACTGCAGAAAATTTGCGCAGAATATTTAGCAGGTTAATGGTGAATAATGAAATATTCGAATAACTATTACTGCTGTGTAATGCAAATGTAAACAATATATATTGTTTAAGATTTAATTGTATTATTCAAATAATTAAAAAAAATAATTAACATGATACTTCCCGCAGTACGTACGACATTTATTAACACAAATAAAGACAATGTACTAGTACATATATCAAAATTTGATTTAACTGCTTAAGCCTGCTTGAAGAATTTGTAGAGCCCCAGTTTGAGAAGACTATTCCTTGTCGATATAAATTTTCAGATATCTGTATGTACTCTCTGTACACTGACAGGAGAACCACAGACTTCTGCAGACGCACAATTCCGTCATTCAAAATATATACCTCTAAAGGCGCGTCCATATTATTCATGCTCGTGCTCGTGCTAGCCAGGCTTGTGCTTGTCGGGATACTCGCCTGGCTTTTACTTGTACTTTTACTTCGTCCACACTACTTCAGTTGCTCGCCAGGCTTCGGCGCGTGAGGATCCGTATATTTACTCGTAGTGTATATAGGATGTAGTCGTATTTTAATTTATTGGCTATAGTTTTTAAATTAAAAATTTAAAATTTGCTTGCCACGTGACTTGTCATATCGTCCACATTACTCGCGAGCATAGCGAGTCACACGGACCCCAGCACGAGCACGAGTAATGTGGACGCGCCTTTAGATTGCAGAAGGCCAAACCTCAGTTGCAGTATGTGCGTCAGTGAAGGGGGGGAAACTACTGTAGTTTGTACTTACATAATTTGTGCTACTTATGCCACAGTCATTTTTGGAAATGACTACGTTTGAAACTTATTCGCTCTAAGAATATTGTTAACAAGTATGGCTAACAGATAATGGCTGACATATTCCGCAGAATTTCTGTGTATAGAAGGACTAACTGCTATTCGAGCTGCATCAGTTTCGAATTTTGACCGGGACACCATCTCTGATTGTGGCCTCCTGCCCATCCTGCGTGAGTCAGTGAAATGCCGTTTCATTGTAATGCTTCACCGTTCACATTATGTAAACATTTTCGTATTTCATTCCATGCTAAACGAAATAGTAGTTGCCATAGCTCAGACGGTTAGCCGTCTTCTTCCACAGCTGAGGGCAGGGTTCGATCCCAGGTTAGATTATTTGCAGTCCATGCTGAACGTAGTGGCACTGTGCTGAATAATTTGAAGGCTTGTGTTTCTTCTGCGAATTATTATTCACCCCACTGCTCCGCCGGGATAGCGCAGGCGATATAGCCATTAAGGGCGAGACGACCGAGGACTCAGAGTTCGAGTCCCAGTATTGTCAAGAATTTTCTCTTCTCCACGTCGTCCAGACCGGTTCTGGGGTCCAGCCAGCCTCCTATCCAATGGGTACAGAGAGCTCTTCCTCCAGAGATAAAGTGGCCTGAGCGTGAAGCTAACCACTCATCCTCAACTAGTGGTTAGGTTAAGAAATACTGATCTATACATCCACTGACCATACACCTTCATGGAGAAGTGCTTAATTAGTTAAGCATAAGGAATGCTCCGTAATCATTAAGAACTCCCTAATCGATAACATATAGCTTGATGTTGTGAGCGTCGTTAAATAGCAAAAATAGTGCAAACTGGAGTGGATAGGATGCGTTAAATTATGAGCTCCTTTACCAGCTGACTAATCTATTTTTGTTTCTACTTACGGAATATTCTTGCGAGAAGTGTTGATACAATTAAAGGTAGAAAAGGGAAACAGGTACAGGCTTCGAACTGGACAATGTAATACTAGAATGAAAGTCATTAGAATTATGTTGTAGGTGGTTCTTATTCGGACATCATTAACTGATCCAAACTAAAATACACAATTTTTTGACCTCATCGGAAAGTGGGAGGCGATTGCATTAAGGAACTTTGTAATTACACTCAACTATTCTTTCATTTCAGAATCACTAACGATTCTTGTTATACTTGTGAAGTCATTTCATTCATGAAGTTACGCAGTTCTGACTGATTATAGTACTTTTGAATGTCATGTTTATGAACGTTGAAGAGGAAGGAAACTAGTAGGAAATAGATGAAAGTGAACACAGAAGATATTCAGGGCTTGCCTGGAGTGACCGAGGCAGGTAATGAGAAAACTAACGAGTTAGCTAAGGCTGGGGCCACACGAGCGCACGAAGTACGTACGTTGCAACGAACGTACTTTATGACGGACGTTGCTAAGGACACTACACAGTTGCAGAATGCGGTGCGTAGTTTTCTGTCGGCAATTGAGCCAGAAGAAAGCATAGCATTCGCCTCTATTGTTTATTTCTACAACGGACGTCGCGACGTTCGTTACAACGAACGCATTTTGTGCGCTCGTGTGGCCCCAGCCTAAAGTGTTATGCTTCTGACTTCTATTCGGGAGGTAACAGTTTCGAACTCCGGCGGGAATACCAATTATTCTGACTCTTGGTTCTCGACAGTCTCTCCAGGCAGTTGCCGAGAGTATACGTGTACATTAAATTAGATGTCGTCCAGACCTGCTCTGGGCACACCAAGCATCCTATCCAAGGGATACCGGTGGTCCTTTCCCAGTGTTTAAAGCGGCCGGCCCGTGAAGCTGACCACTCACCTGGAACTAGTGCCGAGTTCAAGAAAATATGGGTCTATACAGCCGCTCACAAATACGACTTCAGTGCTTAGTGCTTAATTAGTTAAGCACAGGATCGACTGTACGATTTTTTCTTCCCCTTGGTACTACAGCCCTAGCGGGCCTAGGCCTACCTCCATGAACTTCTCCGTTCGGTTTTTCTAAATCTTACACATTCGGCAGGACTCCTTTGGCGGGTGATCAGCTCGTCGCAAGGCCTCTACCTGTACACAAACACAGAAAAACACACACAAACTAAACATTCATGCCCTGAGTGGGATTCGAGCCCACGATCCCGGTTTCCAAGCGAGCGAAGGAAGTATATTCTTAGCCCGCTCGGCTACCGTGACCGGCCGACTGTACGATTACTTCAATATAATTTCTGCCAGGGCTGCTTACAAGTCGAAAGAAATAAACTATTGTAAAAACGATTTTAAAATTCTCGTGTGTTGTATTTGCTATCAAGCAGTCTGTGTTATGTTGTGTTGGAGAATTTCGTTAGATATGCATGCATGCATGCATGTAATACAGTACTTTCGT